ACTTCATTTGATTTTTCCAATAATTTTGCTGGACAAATCAAATCTTATGACTGTAACGTAATCGTAACGATATAACTCTACAATATTGTTGTTAGTTAAATTCAAAATTTGCGCACAATGGACCAACAGATCTGAGTGCATGGGCATTATGTCCACCTCGATAATAACTAAATTCAAGATTTCTATATAGTGCTCAGTGGTATTCTAATTGTATCATCAAACGATTTTTAAATATTTCATCTTATCTATTAGTTATTAATCCTATTTATTTGACATAAACATTACAAATTAAATTATAAAATTCAAAATATTTATCAAAGTCATGATTACGAACAAATATTGAAAAATATCTTTTTTTTTTGTATTTCATTAATTGTTCATGCATTTTTCCTTTATTAATATAAAAATTAATAATTTTTTTTTAAATTTATATCTGTTTTTTTTCTGATTTTATTTCTGTTAAGGATTATATATATATATGTGTCTGTGTGTGTGTGTTTTGTATTGACATATCACGTTAAAAATGGCACGAACAGTGAACTAAAATGGCTGTAGTTAAAATGAAAGATTTCTATGGATGACCTTATAATTTAAAATGTGAACTCATGCCGTTACTGATGAAAAGCAATTCAGCAGTGTCAATAAAAGATTTCATCTTCAATGAATCATATTTCGAAAGTTAAAAAAAATTGCTCTATACATTTTATTAAATTAAATTTTAAGTGAAAAATGATTCTGAGAACTACAAAAGAAATATATAGAAATTATTGTTTTTAATTTAATTGGCTATCCGAACAACAAAAAAATAACAACATTTTTACAATCCACGAGGTATTTTACTTGAAAATACAATTATTTATTTAAAATGCTTCCTTTAGCTTTTAACGTTTTCTTTGAAAATAAATAAAATGACAATAATTATTTTGAAAAAAGTTAAAAAAATCTTTTTGTTATTTATTGGAGTGACAATAAACACGAATAATTTGTTTGACCAAAATATAATGATTCATTATTTTGTATTTGATTTTTTGTTAAACGGTTTATAGAAATTAAAAATTCATTAATTTTAATTATTTAGTGATTTTAATAATATAAATTAACTTTAAATGTATTTCATACAAAATGAATTGAATACTTAAAAGTATAGCTGAAATTGGAGAAAATTTGAAAAATAAAAATAAGTGATCAAAGCATGATATTACAAACAAAATGTAATTTTGATATATTAAGTGTATAAGTATGTCAACACTTTTATGATGATTATAAGTGGATCACGAAAACAAGGTATCCTTTTACACGTAACAATTTAATTGCTTATTTAAGGAATATCAATTAAATATTGTAAATTCTGTCTTAATATACTCGTCACTATCATAATATGGGATAACAGCGGGCTACTCTGTCGATGTCCACAATAATGGTCTTTTATTTAACCTTTTTGTTTAAGAAAATCAACTTAAATTACTAGATTATATTCATATTATTAAATGACATATATTTCTTTACAACCAAAAAAATTTAAATCAATAGTCTAAAGAAGTAATAAACGCATACTGTTTAGTCACATTATATTACACACGTTTCAGCCATAGATCAATAATGAGTTCTATTAGAATAAATAATATTGGTCATTTTTAAAATTACTCTTTACTGATAAGAAATTTATAAATTATACTTATCATTTTTTTACTCTAATCTAAATAATTAAACGCAATCTGTCAACTCTAAACTTTTAAGTGTAAAAAGTAAATTAACGTTATATAAAATGTCAAAATGATTCGTATAATATTTATGGGTAATAATTTATATATTTTATGTCTAGACATCATTAAATAATAACATTGAAAGAACAGTATGTTGATTATTTTTTAGGGCTACAAAATAATAAAAAAGGAAGAACAATCCTTACAATCGGTCTGTTTTAATGAATCACTTGAAATCGTTAAGAAAAAATTGTCATCTTCATTGTCGGAAGTCTTACATGCTCAAGTTTTTAAATTAAAAATTAAATTTGTGTTATTTTATTTATCAATTATTATTCAATACTGTTACTAAAGTAATTCTAAAAGCAAAGAAAAGTTACCAGGTAAGATACTAATTTACTAATAGCTAATGCTTATACATTTCATGGCTCTTGAATCACACTCCGAATAAAAATAACTCTCACTTTTATCCAAAATCTTTCAATATTCATGTTTTAATTTTTTATAATTAGTTAAAATTAAAATATTCAGTTTGAGACATTTAACAGTTATTATAAATATTGAATAAAAAAAAAACGGTAGCACAGTGGGGTCGCGGCATAGTGGAGACATTGCATAGTAGGGTCCAGTATAGATTTAATCTGACAGTGATTAAAATCACTATCATAAGAAACGCTTCGATGCAAATCTGTAGNATCTGACAGTGATTAAAATCACTATCATAAGAAACGCTTCGATGCAAATCTGTAGATAGTGTTTAATTTTAAAAAATTGATGGATAATTGCAAAAGCAACATCAACTTCTATTAAAATAAAATACAAAACCCATAATTATCATACAAAAATAGTATATTTTTCAATATGGTAGCCATTTGCGCATAGAAGATAGAACGTCGGAACAAATTTTTTTTTTCATTTTGTAGTACATAAAATAAGCTTTAATTTGATATACGTTTAAAGAACGCAGTAATTCCGGAATATTTTCAAAAATTAAGTTGAAAAAGTTATTTTTTGTAAAAAAGTTACTATTTTAAATCCCCTCAATGAGCAGAATAAGTGTAAGATTTTCAAAAAAAATTATATCAAATGAAAGGGAAATATCTAAGGTTTCAATACAAAAAAATATTATTTTTATTTGTTCATTTTTGAAAAAGTTATGGCAGTTTTAAGTACAAAAAACATCCCGATAAAATGTAATTTTTATCGCAAACATTACATTTTTTTT